TAAAAAAAAAAAAAAAAAAAAAAAAAAAAAAAAAAAAAAAAAAAAAAAAAAAATGTCTCTTTTTTTTTGCTGCAGAGTGTATAGTAGTGTGTGCTGCATTAAGAAAGCCTTTAATTGTTATTCTTAATAAAATTGATTTAATTAAGGAGACAGAAAGAGACAAAAAAGTAAAAAGGAGACACTCTTCCTGCTGCTGCTGCTGCTGCTGCTGCTGCTGCTGCTGTTGCTGTCTACTGATGCTGCTGATGCTGATGTTCCCTCATGCTGTTCCTGATTCTGCTTATGTCACCCTGCTGCTGTTGCTGCTGCTGTATCCTTGTGCTGCTCCTGCCTCTGCTGCTGTTGCTGTATCGTGTTGCTGCTGCTGCTGTTTCATCCTGCTGCTGCTACTGTTGCTGCTGCTGCTGCTGCTGCTGCTGTTAGATAGCTTCCTTACGAACTCGTGTCCAGCGTCTATTGGCGGATCAAGGATTTGGTCTTGTCCCTGTTGTACCAATCAGTGCTGCTCCTCGTAAGCCTACTGCTGTTGCTGCTGCTGTTGCTGCTCCTGCTGCTGGTGCTAGTGTTGTTGCTGCTCTTGGTGGTGCTGCTGCTGTTTTTGCTGCTGCTGCTGCTTGATGTGTTAGGGAAAGACGAAGGGGAGAAATCAACAGGGAGTGGTGGGGTTGTATTGGTTTATTGTGCCTGTGCTGCTGCTGGTGCTGCTGCTGCTGTTGCTGCTGTTGTTGTTGTTGCTGCTGCTGCTGCTGCTGCTGCTGCAGAGGGTGGTGCTGAGGCTTGGGGTATCTCCGAGTTAAAGGAGACACTTAAGAAGACATTGCTGTCTCCTCCCCAAGGGTTTGCTGCTGAAGTGTCTCCTGAGGAGACAGCAGCAGCAGCAGCAGCAACAGCAGCAGCAGGATCTGCTCCCCGCTCTTTGCTGCAGCGAGCCATAGACAGACAAAGATGCATGCGCTGCCCCTGCTGCAAGCAGCAGCAGCAGCAGCAAGGTTCATCAGCATTGACGGTGTCTCCGCGTCTTCTCTTCTCCTTTGATCATGCATTTGCCCTAAAAGGTTTGTTACCTGCTGCTGCTGCTGCTGCTGCTGCTGCTGCTGTGTGTCTCCATTTGTCTCCTTGTGTCTCCTTCTGTCTCCTGTTTTCTCCTTTTGTCTTCGCTTGTCTCCTTTTCTTTGCCTTTTGCTTGCTGGTGTTAGCCACAGCCCCAAGTACCCCCACTAACGCATGCATGCATGCATGCATGCATACAGCAGCAACGGCAGCAGCAGCAGCATCAGTGTGTGTTGGTGTTGTTGTTGCAGGGAAGGGTACAGTTGTGACGGGTACAGTACTAGAGGGACGAGTAAGAGTAGGAGACAGTGTGTTATTAGTATCAGCAGGAGGAGCAGGAGCAGCAGCAGCAGCAGGAGCAGCAGCAGCAGCAGCAGCAGGAGCAGCAGCAAAAGTAAAAGGTATACAAAGATTTAAGAGAGAGGAGACAGAAGCAAGATGCGGACATCGAGCAGCAATAAGATTAACAGGAATAGATGCATCTAATCTTGTAAGAAAAAGGAGACAAAAAAAAAGGAGAAAAAAAAAAGGAGAAAAAAAAAAGGAGACAAAAAAGGAGACAATAAAGGAGACAGATAGGGAAGAGACAAAAAAGGAGACAAAAAAGGAGACAGATAGGGAGGAGACACAAAAGGAGACACTTAGTTAATAAGGAGACAGTTAGTTAATAAGGAGACAGTTAGTTAATAAGGAGACACAAAAGGAGACACCTAATAAGGAGACAGTTAAGGAGAAACAAATGCATGCATGCAGCAAACACATGCATGCAAAATCTTTAAGAATCAGCAGCAGCAGCAGCAGCAGCAGCAGCAGCAGCAGCAGCAGCAGCAGCAGAATAAAGAATTGTCTCTTTTTTTTTTATTTGTATGTGTATACAGGAGAGGGGACTAGGGGTGTCTCCTTTTTATATCCCTCCTTCATTTAATGCATGCATTGCTGCTGTTTATTTAATTAATATTTATCCTTATAATGTAAGTATATTTACTCTCTCCTTTTTTTTTTATTATAATTAATTGTCTCCTTTTTTTTATTATAATTAATTGTCTCCTTTTTTTTTATTATTGTCTCCTTTTTTTTTATTGTCTCCTTTTTTTTTATTATATTTAATTGTCTCCTTTTTTTTTATTGCCTCCTTTTTTTTATAATTAATTGTCTCCTTTTTTTTGTTATAATTAATTAACTGTCTCCTTTTATTTTATTGTCCCCTTTTCCTTTTTTTGTCTCCTTTTTTTTTATTATAATTAATTAATTGTCTCCTTTTATTGTCTCCTTTTTCCCTCTTTTATCTCTTTTGTCTCCTTCTTTGTCTCCTTCTGTCTCCTTTTTTTGTCTCCTTTTTGTGTCTCCTTTTTTTGTCTCCTTTTTTTGTCTCTCTTCTTATCTATTGCACACAAGCATTAGCAGCAACAGCAGCAGCAACAGCAGCAGCAACAGCAGCAGCATTACCAGGACCCTGCTGCAGTATCTGTCTCCTTTGTATATCCCTGCTACTGCTGCTGCTGCTACTGCTGCTGCTGCTGCTGCTGCTGCTGCTGCTGCTGCTGCAGGTACCATCTGGTCAGAAGTTGCATGTGACCATTGGTCATCAGACAGCCATGGGTGTTTTTACTTTCTTTCTTCCTCCTTCTTGCTGCAATTTGCATGCAGCAGCAGCAGGAGACCCAGAAGGAGCAGCAGAAGTACAACAACAGCAGCAGCAACAGCAACAGCAACAGCAGCAGCAGCAGCAAAGAAACAGCAGCAATAATATATTACCCCTAAATATAAATATTAATAATGTATTCATGGAGACACCTGAACTAACAAAGGAGACACCTTATGCTTATGCCCTTATTATTCTTGATAGGCCTATACTTGTAAGTGTCCCCTTTTTTTTGTTTCCTTTTTTGTCTCCTTTTTTGTCCCCTTTTTTGTCTCCTTTTTTGTCTCCTTTTTTGTCTCCTTTTTTGTCTCCCTTTTTGTCTCCTTTTTTGTCTCCTTTTTTGTCTCCTTTTTGTCTCCTTTTTGTCTCCTGTCCCTCTGTCTCTTTCGTTGTCTCTATCACTTGCTTTGTCTCTCCCTGTATGCATTCATGCATACACTGCATGCATATACTGCATGCATGCATGCATGCATGCATGCATTTATTTTGGGGCTTTGTGTGCATGCAGGCATGGATGGGTAGTTTGTTTATATCTTCCCGCCTTGATTTAGAGACACAACAACGTGCATGCAGAATAGCAATAAAAGGGACAATAATAAGGCCTATACAGGACCAGCAGCAGCAGCAGCAGCAGCAAACAGCAGCAGCAGCAGCAGCAGCAGCAGCAGCAGCAGCAGCAGATACACCTATTCCTCTTAATTTATTAAAAATAATAAAGATTAAATGGCATATTGGCTATGTAGATAAATTTATTAATTATAAACCTTGTACATGTACACCAGCTGTCTCCTCTGCTGCTGCTGCTGCTGCTGCTGCTGCTGTCTCCTCTGGTGCTGCTGCTGTCTCCTCAGCAGCTGCTGCTGTCTCCTCAGCAGCTGCTGCTGTGTCCTCTACTGTCTCCTCTTGCTCCCCTTCTTCCTCTTCTTTGTCATTAAGTGTCTCCTTTTCTTCTTGTGTCTCCTTATGTGATTATATTAGTGATTTATTAATAGCTAAGGGTTTATTTATTAATAAGGAACATTGTCTCCGTTTCCTAGGGTTTAGGGTTTATATAATTAAGGGTTTATTAATAAAAAAAGAAGAAAAAAAAGAAAAAAAAGAAGAAAATATTAATAAACTAATAAAAAAGAGACACTTTATTCATCAAACAGATACTTCCTCTATTATTAATAAATGTATACAATTATACCTTCCTGCCCTCACCAGCAGCAGCAGCAGCAGCAGCAGCAGCAGCAGCAGCAACAGCAGCAGCAGCAGCAGCAGCAGCAACAGCAGCAGCAGCAGCAGCAGCAGCAGCCGCAAGAAGGAGGAGGAGGAAGAAATAATACAGGGTATAATAAAGAGTCCCTTTGGTAATAAAGGCAAATGTTATATTCAATTAAATAAACAATTGAGGTGTACAGACACCATAAATAAACAAATAAATATAAATAATAATAATAATAATAATAATAATAATAATAATATAAATAATAATAATAATAATTTTTATCCTTTTTCTTGTGTATTAATTTATTGTAAACAAAAATTCAATAAAATACAACCTATTATACAACCATAAGGGTTTAGGGTTTAGGGTTTAGGGTTTAGGGTTTAGGGTTTAGGGTTTAGGGTTTAGGGTTTAGCTAAACCCTAAACCCTAAACCCTAAACTCTAGGAATTGTTTATGTAGACTTGTAAACCCTAAACCCTAAACCCTTTTATTTTTATTTTATTTTTGTTTGTGTCTCCTTTTGTCTCTCTTTTTGTCTCTTTCTGTCTCCTTTTGTCTCTTTTTTTTTTATTTCCTTTTTGTCTCCTTTTATCTATTAAATAAATAAATAAATAAATTAATTAATTAATTAATTAATTAAATAAATAAATAAAAAAGGAGACAAATAAATATTTATTTAATTAATTGTTAATAAAAATAAAAAAATAAAATTTTTGTTTTTTTGCTGCATTTGCTGCTCCTCTATTCATAAGGAGCTGTCTCCTTTTCTCCCGTGCTGCTGCTGCTGCCGCTGCTGCTGCTGCCGCTGCTGCTGCTGCTGCTGTCATCGTTGCTGCTGCTGTTATTGCTGCTGCTGCTGCTGTTGTTGCTGTTACTGCTGCTGCTGCTGCACGCACTGTCACTGCTGCTGCTATTGTTATTGCTGCTGCTGCTGCTGCACGCACTGTCGCTGCTGCTGCTATTGCTACTGCAGCTGCTGTCGCTGCTGCTGCCGTTGCTGTCGCTGCTGCTGCTGCTGCTGCTGCACGCACTGTCGCTGCTGCTGCTGCTGCTGCTGCCGTTGCTGTCGCCGCTGCTGCTGCTGCTGCTGCCGTT